CTTTAACATTTATACAAAAAAAAAGAAAACAAACTTTAAAATTGGATCAATGGATCGGTTTTTCAATCAGTCATTCATTGAATGATAAATCACTACAAGTGACGGAGATACGCGATTTAAATAACGGAAAATCCAATATTTAAAAATGGTATCTAAAATGACTGGAAAAGTGGAAACAAGACCAGATATAATTTGAGCATTCTGAACAAATCCAAAATCTTTATAGACAGAAACAATCATTAGTTCCCAACCATGGGTCGAATGGAATCCTATACATAAATCAGTTAATAGAAGAATAAAAAAAGCTTTTAATGTGTCACTTAAGTTATATAGAAATTCTTGAACCCAAGAGTTAAGAATCAAAAGTTCTTGATTACCTAGAATAGAATAACCACTTAGAATAAGGAAACAGATTATATTTGTCGATAAGTGCAAAATCGTATGGATACGATCTTCGTTATACGTTTTGATTAATTGGATCGTTTCTTTGTAGATTCCAGTACGAAGGTTTTGTAGACGTGTTTCCGGGTATTCCTTTAGCATTTCATCCAAAAGGAATAGTTCCTTAAATTCTATGAATTTTTTTAGAATACTCTTTTCTTGAATATCATTCAAGAAAATTTCGGATTGCCTAGTATTTCGCCAATTAGTAAACCAAGATTCCAGACTTTTCTTAAATGTAAAAGAGATACACCAGGGCAAAAAGACTATAGATATAAGATATAGAAGAGGAATGAATGCTTTCTTTTTTTCCATTTTTCGTCTTTAATCAACTCAACTTCACCTCATTCGTCAAACTCTATATGATAATAATCTTTCTATCAAGCATAACTTCTATTAAAATTCATAGAACCTATATCTAAATCCATAATCTATTCCCGCGTTTTTTTTATTTGAAATTCGGGAGTTAGTCCTTGCCTTGTTTAATTTAGAAAGAATACAGAAATCGAAGGAATCCACCGTCAAGTCGAATGAAGAAAAATAAATATTGTTTCAAAAGATCTCAATTGCTAAGATTCGAAGCAATTACCCGAAGTGCTCTTTTGTGTATTCATCAAAAGGAGTAATTCGGGTAATGAATATTATAGTCGGATTTCGAAACCAAAGAACGTCTCATCTATAAATATTTCAATCGGTACACACAAGAAATAGGACAATTCCACAACTTTTTGTGCAATTTATCTAGTAGAGTCAAATTCTCCTCAATAAAGCGGATACATCAAGAAAACGGGTACATCCACGAATCTGCCTATTTCGAAAGCTTTGTCTACAATTTCTTGGAAACTCAAATCATCTTCAATACGAGTCAAGGGAATGAGCTCATAGTTTATGGTTTCCATAAAAACAATACGATAAAAAGTAGGGGTACGAGTCAAAATATCCCTTTGAACTTCTGGCATTATTTTGATGCACCGAATATCTTTCATAGGTACTTTGAAAATTAGACGACGCTTTTCTCCAAGAAATCCAAATCCCCAACGAAAAAAATAAACCATTCTCTCTTCTTTTTGGAAGATATCATAACCACCATCCACATCCAAAATAATCGCGGCCCACAAAAAAAAACTAATAAGAAGACCCACGATTCCATCGAAATACATCGTGGCCCCTCGTGGAATAAATGGTAAATAAATATAGTTCGGAATAAATGGAAGAAAATTACTAATTTCCTCAGGAAAAAATAGAAAATCCCTACCAAGATAACTGGTTATTCCAACCAAAAACAACACGAATGAAATTAAAAGCAGGACGAAGGACCAGAACAAATAACGTATTCTTCGATATTCCGTTACACGATATATCAGTATCTGTTTTGATCGCAAAACTACATTCATATTCATGATTAACCTCCTGAATTTGCAGCGAATGAATGCATTTTGGATTCAAAATCCAATTTCAACTTTCATATATATATTCTATTAGGATTGGGTAAAAAAATCAACCCCCCAACCAATTTCTTTTTCTTTATTTATGAAGTAACCTTTATCAACTAGCACTATTTTAATGTAAACCTTTAGGAGTAATTCATCTAATTGATTCCAGATCTAAAAAAATATATGAGATTTCCTACTGCCCGTATCTAAAAAATCTTGTTTTTTTGAACATGAAGAAATAAAGAAGCCATTGCAATTGCCGGAAATAATAGGCCTACTAAAGGCACAAAAATGGAAGGTAAGTTTATCATAGAATGGGTACCTCGATTTACTATTTGTACCGGTTATATATATATATATATATATTATTGTTATATTAATATTTTTATTATTCTTATTTATATTGTTATAAAGATAGTCTATAATCACTAGAATTCATATATACTTAGTATATATGAATTCTAGTGATTATAGCTAAGTGAATATATATATATAATGAGTATAGAATATAATAAATCAATAATAAAATGAAAATCGTAAATAATATTCTAATAAATAATAGAATCCAAAGTACAAATAGAATCTAATAATAAATAGAAAGAATGTAGAACTAAATAAATGGATTTCGTCTTCTATTTCTAGAAGAAACAAACATATGTATGATAATACACCTTTTTTTTATTCTTAGTATTCCTCTATTATTATCTTATTACTTTGCTCTTGTGTGTTCTAATTTTTGATTTTTGTCTCAAAATTTGTGTTTTTTTGTTTGAAATTCAAAAATGAAAAATCAAAAAGAATTTTTGGCTTTCCCTCATTTTTCATTTTGAGTCAAAGAAAAGAAAGCATGAAGTTGAAATAACTCACCCAGAACTCCCTTTAAAGGATTACGCGGTACGATTGAATCAAATAAGCCTTTATGGAATAAATATTCAGCCGCTTGTGAACCTTCAGGTACTGCCTTATTCAATGTTTGTTCAATTACTCTTTTACCTGCAAATGCAATGTAAGTATTAGGTTCCGCAATAATGATATCCCCCAACATGCCAAAACTTGCTGTCACTCCACCAGTAGTAGGAGATGTAAGGATCGATACATAGAATAACTTTTTATTTGTTTGATAATTATATAAAACAGAAGAGATTTTAGCCATTTGCATCAAGCTCAAACTTCCTTCTTGCATACGTGCTCCTCCGGACGCACATACTAGAATAAGAGGTAAAAATTGATTGGTAGCATATTCGACCAAACGGGTGATTTTCTCACCTACTACGGATCCCATACTACCCCCCATAAACTTAAAATCCATAATTCCAATTGCTACAGGAATACCATTTAGTTGACCTGTGCCTGTTTGAACAGCCTCAGTTAATCCTGTCTTTCTTTGATAAGAATCAATACGATCTTTATAAGGTTCCTCTTGTGAATGAAATTCAATGGGATCCAGAGAGACCATGTCTTCATCCATAGGATTCCAAGTACCTGGATCAATCGAAAGTTCGATTCTATCTGAACTGCTCATTTTCAAATGATATCCACAGTGTTCACAAATATTGATTTTGGATTTCAAATATTTTTTATAATTTAATCCATAACAATTTTCGCATTCAATCCACAAATGCTTGTATTTTTGAATTTCAGCGAGATTATCAGAACTTTCTCTTTGAGTGGAATCACTATTATTTGTATGATTTGTGCTAGTTATTAGACTAGAACTATAATTCTTGTTTTCTATAGTATTTCTGCCCTTACCACAAATGTAACTATAAAAATAACTGTCATTGTATTTGTCACTATCACCTAAAATGGAACTATCAATACAAATTTGAGAACGAAGATAACTATTAATGCAACTATTAATGTTATTATTCCAGCTAAATTTAGTATCATCCATGTAATGATCATCATCACTCTTAGAGACATTCTTCAGATAGCTAGAATTGTTATAACTAGAAAAAAAACTTTCAGATTCACTTAGGAAAGAATGATCATTGTCAATTTCCAAAATTTTCTTTTCAATATCAAAATATATGGAATAACTCTTCCTCTTACTATCCCTAACTAAAAAAGTTTTATCCGATAGGAAATTCTGGATGTTCCTGATACCTACTAAATTTTGAAAAAAACTGTAACTAGAATTGAAAAAACTGTAACTAGAATTGTCACTATCATTCCAACTATGCGTTTTTTTATCCATATCAGCTAAAATTGGGAGGTCCTCATTTACACAGGTATTTTCAATAGGACCAAAACTATCTATTGATTTACTTAATCCACACCTGTATTCTAATTCCCTATTAAACAACATAGTGAACCACCATTTTTCCATAGAGTTTTTTTCCTCTATTTACATGAAAATACAATAGATGAATAGTCATTCGATAAAAAATTATATATAAATTCTATTTTTAATATTCTATTTACTATCAATATATATATAAATTCCATCACTAGGATTAGTAACTGATAATAATAACGAACGAGTAAGTATTAAAAAAAAAGAATTTTTTTTTTTTCAATTCTATCTAATTCTAAAATCATATTTGAAATATTCTAAAAATAAATAATAATATAATAATAATCAATATTTAATTCTATTTGAAATAATATAGAATTAGGAATAAATAAAGAAAAAAATAACTTCATTGGGGATAATGTATTTATAGACCCAATTTTTTCATTTAGTGATTATTCATTTGCTTTTTCCTATATTATCTCTTTTATTTCTATCCATTTTTTTATGTTTTGAAAATCGATATAAAGTTAATTTTCTGACTTGACTATCGAAAACAACATTCTATGTAAACAACATTCTATGTAAACAACAAGAAATAAAAAAGTAGGTATGAATAGAACAAGAGAGCGGGGGGAGAGAAAAGAGTTCTATAAATTTATATACAAGTCATCCACACCCCCTTTTTTTATTTCATTAATTGAATTTCGTTTGTTGATTAGGGCTAAGTTCCATAAAAACACCTGCTTTTTTTGAAATATCCTGAACAGTTCCTGTGGGTTGAGCACCTTTTTCAAGGAAATATAGAATGACAGGAATATTTAAATACGTTTGATTCTTTATTGGCTCATAAAAACCCACTTTCCGAAGATCTCTTCCCTCTCTTCGGGATCGAACATCAATTGCAACGATTCGATAAACAGCTCATTGGGATAGATATAGATGAACAATGTACCCCCCCTAGAAACGTATAAGAAGTTTTACCCTCGTACGGCTCGAGAAAATTCATAATTTTATCTATGTATAAAATTATGATGTCAAATAGATCTATAAAATCATTAAATCAATTAAACTATGATTTAAGTATTTTTTTTCTTATTTTCTTTCTGAAAAAAGAATAACTCCTCATATTTGCATATTTGCAACCCCATAACTCAAATTGGATAATTCTCAAATAACTCAAAGGAAAACAAAGCCTTTATGTATTTCATTTATTGAGCGGTCTCTACCCCCCTTTTCTTGTCTGTGCTTCTTTCACTTTAGAATCTATGTTTTTTTTTCTAATAGAATTGATGAGACAATTTGAAAATGGTATTTACTTGTTCCAGTATCTTTTAGTTTTTCCTTGAATCATTGGGTTTAGACATTACTTCAGGAATCTTTAATCGTTAAAAAAATGGAAGCAACATACCATTTTTTTTCTTTCTCGGAAAGAATCATACGAATAGAAGGTTGATTCCCGCAGATACACTTTCGATCGAAATAATTTTACTAATTCCAACAAATTTTTGAACCTTGTTCGAATTGGATCCTTTCGATTTCTCTATCAAAGAGATACTTACGAAGTTGTTCTAACTTATTAATTTTCACTAACCTTAGATACTTGCCCCTGAGAAATGAATCAACTCGAGCTCCATCATGGAATATTTACATCATCAATCCCCTTCCCGTCCCCAAAACAATAAGTTAGTTCTAGTGGAGTGGAAACAAACGATTGTCGAGTCAAGAGCATCTGATTTCTATATACTAGAAAAAAAGATGGCGGATGTAAGAAGGACTCCCACACTAATCGATCATGTCTTTCAGTGCACGTTTTGCTTTTTTACCAATGTTTCACGAAGTTTATACCATAGGGATTCCTTTAGCTTGCGAGTCGGGTATGTAATTGATTATTATGATGTGATAGAATCAGTTGATCTAAATCTATGGATAAGTAAAATCTTATACTTAAATATTAATCTTTCTATGAGATTTTTAGAATCATATATTTATACATGAGTGAAAGAAATATTTCATTAATAAAAAAGGAGAGAAGAAAATTCAATATTGATATTGATATTTAATAAATGTCAAGACTTACATTACTTTTATAGATGTATGATACGTTTGATAATAGAGAATACTAGTGACTATTCTCTTAAAAAAAATATTAGAAAGAGAGAACTCATATTGAAATAAATTTGTATATCTTAATATGTATATCACTAATACTTGATACAGAGTAATTAAGCACTATCCAACTACATAAGAATATCACGCTCATCACACCATAATGCATGAAAAAAGGCTATAATTCCATTGATATTTCCAAACATAGAGTGGATTTAACATTTGTATTCAATATATGATATTCATTATTGATAATTGTGAGGGATACTACTGGCAGAGTCGGACGAAAAGAGATCGTCTAGCAACTCGAATAGCGTGCAAAATAACCTAGGCGTTTAGCCGCTATGGCCTACAGCCAATGGTGTCGTAATAATATGACGATTAT